CTGAACTGCTGAACTGCTGAACTGCAGTCAGCTGAAGTAGCCTGCAGTGCTGCATTTAACCACTGCGCCACCTCGGCTCTATGAAGCGGAAGACACTTCCAATTTTATGCGGGAGAAAACCCGAATAACCAAAAGACCTACATACTAACACCCGCGAAAACCTCAGAAAACACACATACGTTTATATGTACAAAATAAATTGCATTACATATTGTACAAAATACAAAAACATATTTAACATTTTAAACAATATTTGCCACATTTTAAAATATATTCAGGGAGGCAGAAGCGTCTGGATCCAGGTGTTCCCTCCTGGTCAGGGGAGGTTTTCTCCAGCTGCCAGTTTTTGGTACAGGCTGCAGAGCTCCTGAGGTTTGGGAGTCTCCGTCCCGGGACTAGGCGGGGCTTCAAAATCGGAAGAGCTCTGAGAGTCCACGGTTTGGACCGCTGGACTGAGCTCTGTCCTCCCTTCTGGCTTGGCCTTCTTTCCTGGCTCGGTCCGATCGGGAGCTGCTGCTGCTGCTGTGTCCCAACATCTGGCTTTGCCTTCCAAGGGAAGGGGCTCTGCAGAAGGCGCAGCCCGATCTAAAGGCCGGCTGCTCTTCGGCAGGTGGTCCGTTCTCTTTTCCCCTGCAAGGGGACGGGTCACCCTCTCCGTCCCTCCCTTGGAAGGGCTGGACTCCAAATTCCTTCGCTCCTGGGAGGTGATGAGGACGGTGTCTGATTGGCTGTCCCACCCTTGGCTGCCCTGTTCAGAGATGTGGGTGGACTGAGAGGACTCCAGAGAAGAGATGTGAGTGGAGTCGCTCAGGTCGTCCTCGTTGAAGGGGCCGGGAGAAAGCGGCTCGGCCGAGTCGGTACATGGCGGGGGGCCCTCGTGGTCCGAGCTCTCGGGGTCTTCTGAAGGGCGCCTGAAGAAGCTGTCCCATTTTGGCACTTCCGAGTCAGGTTGCGCTTGGTCTTCACTGAGCTTCCCGGTACTCGTTGCTCCCACAAGACTGTTGGGGTGCCGTGAAACTTCAACAAACTCCGTCCCCGGTGATGGAATTCCAGGAAGAGCTGTCTCCTCCTCCTCATGTTGTTCCTCCTCCTCCTCGCTATTTGATTCTTCGCACTCTACAAAATCAACCGGCAAACAAGCAGGCCCTGGAGACACCCTGTGACTGGGTTCTTCTTCACGATTTGGGGGGAGCAGCTTTCTCTCCACGGGTTCAATCCCTGGCAGCAGTTTTGGAACCTTGTAATTTCTGGGAATCAGTCCAGAGTCAAAGAGATCGTCATCATCGCTGCCACCATCTGTGCAAACAAAATAAAAGCAAATTAATTTCCTCTCCCTCTCCCATCCATCCATCCATCCATTTATCCACCCACCCAATCTTTCTATCAAATTCTTTTCAGGCAGAGAACCACCTTGGTTGCTCAAAAACCCTCTTTCAGGTGTGCTGATTTTCTAAACGGAGGGGAATTTTGGAGTCGACCTGTTCTCTGTATTTAGCAGCTCAGGATTCTCCTGGATGTGAGCCATTGAATGGTTGGTAGCTTAAGTGTCGGTGGGTCTTGGGGGGGTGGGGGAGACCCGGTTTAGCAATAGCAGTAATAGCAATAGCAGTTAGACTTATATACCGCTTCATAGGGCTTTCAGTCCTCTCTAAGCGGTT